GACCTAATCCAGACACCATTCCATTGTCCAGTCATACCGAGAAGTGTTATACAATTGCTACTACAATCAGTTTCAAAACAGTTTCTTCCTTCTTGTACTTGATATTGTCTCCCCTGCCCCACAACCTCCTTTGCTGTCCTCCTCAGGAACCCTTATTCTGTGTTTTAAGCCTTCGTATTCCACCTTTGATGTCTTCTTAACAAATTACCTTCTGTTGCTCTTGAGAATATATACAGCAAAACATGCACCCATTGGGTTTTATGGGACTCTGCTTTATGAGTTTTTAATTAAGTGTGTTGTGAAAAAGTATCCAGTGCTGAAAATAATATGAGAAATGCTGGATTAAGTTAAAGAAAGAAGTTTATTTCCCCCCCTCTCCCCCACCACCAAAAAAAGAAGCATCCCTTAAGCATTCTTTGGGTTCTGTTACTTTCGTTGTATCCTGGACTCTGAAGATTTATATTTTTCCTTGCTCATTAATGTATATGAGATATATTTTAAGTTATTTGGATGAAATTTGAAGTCTTTTTTTTAAGTGGGAGGGCTATTCTAGTGTCAAATGGTCAGAAACAGAATGGCTAGGAAAATCTCTGTTCTTAGAGTGTGAGATTCCATGCAAAAGGATTCTGGTATGACTATTATAACAAAGACTGTTTGCACATTAATTTCTCCCCTCCCCCCGTTTCCTTATGTAGGGTGAGCGTGGAGTCCCAGGGTTATCTGGAGAAAAAGGAAGTAGAGGAAATCAGGTAAACCATGAACATATTCTTTAGTTTCTTCTGTCTTAAGTGATATGGATCATTTATTTTTAACCCCTGGGAAAGAATCATCTAGCCATTTAAGTGCTTGATTGGAAGTTCAAGGCTGTAAGAGTGAGCTGATTATTTGGTAACTTTTATTTGGTAACAGGTAACTTGACCCTGCTGATTTGAGATGAGTAATGCAAATCAAGTCTCTCAACCTTTTGTGCTGTAGGACAGTGATCACGCCACCACCCATCTTATAAACTTTCATTTAAAAAA